CACTCAGTTAATTAGTGATGTTCAGTATTGGTCCCAACAGCTGTCCATGGAGGAGGTCTGTCCCCTCAGGCAGCTGCTACTCATCTGTGCTCAGCTGGCAATGGAAGTGACATCTGCTCTCAGCCCCAGCTGTGAGGAGCACAGAGATGCCAAAGACCAAATGCCTCAGTTCTTGATCCAGGAGCCAAGGAAGGCTTACTTATGCCAGACCACGGCCTGGTTTTGAAGAGAGAGTTGTCTCTTTCAACGATGGTGGGCTGGGAGGACAAGAAGAGTGACAAACAAGGAGAGAAAGAAGTACTAGAGACAGAGAAGTGATGGAGAGAATAGAGGGAGAAACAGTGGTAGAGGGAAAGAAAAGAGTGGAAAACTTGCAAATGGAGGAAAAGAAAGGAGATTTGAAATGAGTGATTACCAGAGGGATGAAAATCAGGTGATATGAAATAGAGTGAAGGAGGACATGTTAAGAAAGAGGAAGAGACTCAGGGCGGTAAAGAAAGGAGATTAACCACTAGAGCTACACACCTTGCACAGCTCTACTGAACTAGGTAACTACCCACAACTGCCAGCATATTATAGTCAAACTAAGGCTAAGACTGAAAAAAATTCAACATGAATTAATATTCAAGGGGGCCTTCATCCCTGCAGCATCTGCCATCTGAAGAATTTTACTTGTACCTGTCTAACTGCCTTTTGCTCATTTCAAATGTCATAACCTTTTGCTTCTTTCTCTTTGTAACAGATTTAACTCTGCGAAGTGTTTTAATGTACCGCATACCTGAAAGGATAAGAGAAAGGTGATGTTTAAGGTAAAGTTGTATTATGTAATTTAATCTACAGGGAGATGAATGTATTACAGAGTACCATGCTATCTGAGGCTGGAAAAAACTTTATGAACAAGGGCCCTATTCAGCCCTGGCACAGAACTGGCATTTCATTTACTATTGTTATTAATTCATGTTTAATATTTATATTGCAGTAGCACCTAGAAGCCAAGCAGGTCAAAATACTGCTAGGCACCATACAAATCTGTTGGAAACAGTACTCCCTGCTTTGAAGACCTCACAGTCTGATAGACAAGGCAGAATAGGTAGATGAGATAAATAAGATATGGATTGGAGGAAATTGGATAAGAGAAAGCTACAAGATGGCAGTTGAACAAACAATCAATCATTTTCATCATAGTTGTTGGGCCCCTGGATATGTGGTATTACCCAGCCAAGGTATCTTAAGTCAGTCCATCTAGGCATCTCACCTGAAGAGATACTGATCAAATAATTTTAAGCAACATAATGAGTACGCATGTCTCACTAGGCAATTTGCATAAAAAACTTCAGCTACATACCTTGGCAAAGCCACCTGCAACGCTGTGGCAGATGTCAAGTTTATTATGTATAAAATTGTTTGAGAACTGCAGATTAAAAAAACTCAGTTTCTTAATTTCATGTGAAATTCTACTCGTATTGTAGGTGTTAACATAGATGGAAGAAAGCCACTTGGATTTTTTCAGTCACTTAGCATTAATTTCACTCTTTCATTCTTCACTATTGTAGATTACCATTTTACAGCCTGTTTTAATAGCTCTTATTTCATAATTGTTACTTTCTACATGCTAGATCTCTAAGGGTCATTTCACCCATTGGCATCTAAGTGGAATTCTGTCCAGTGTTGAAAATCCCTGAATGCATCTGTTCTTGCATTAAAACCCAGTCAGAAAAAAACAGGGAGGATGAGGATCTGCTCACCTCTTGAATTAACCATTTCTCAGGGACTCGAGCAGTATTGCTCTTAGGCACCTAAATCTATTTATGTATTTAATAGGTGGAATAGAACTTGGCCTAGGTGTTTATGGATTGCTTTAAAAGATTATTACAAAGAAAGAACAGCAATCATATAGTGAATTAACAACATGTAGGTGAAGTCTGTTATTTATCCTCTATTTTAGTTTAAATAACTATTCAACCTGTACTAATAACTTGAAACTTCATTTATTTCGTGCATGTTTCTTTTTAAGAGATGTTCCCAAACAGGCTGAAAAAAAATCATTTTCCATTATAGCAATTCATTGCATGAGGTATTTTCACTTGCATCAAAACCTGCTTAAATAGAGTTCAATGAAAAAACACAACTGAGTAAACCAAAAGAGGAAACGTTTTGTTTTATTATGCAAACAAAAATTATTTTTTGTTCATGAAAGTCAGCTTGTTGACTTCAGGGCTCTAATTGAAGGAACGTGGATGTAAATACTGTAGAATAAAACAAAAGATTTTTGTTTTCTCCCACATCTGTCTCTGGAGGAACTCATCATGGATTTTGCTTTAGCATTTTTTTAAATCCTAAAACAGGAACGTTCAATTTCTGGACAGTGAGGGGCCGCACATCATGTAGGTTGCAGACCCTGGGAGCTGCATGCTGCACAGGCCACAAATCCCAGGTCCTCTCTGCCAAGTCATCAGCCAGGATCTCCTTTACCCCCCCACTCCCTGCCACGCAGGCAGAGCAAGCAGCTCGGGTGTTCTGGCCCTGCGTGAAGCATGAGCAGTATAACCTCACGGCTGGATGTGCAGCCTGGACATCCCGACCCATCTCTTGCTGGGGGGAAAGGGTAGAGGGGGGCATCCTGGCTCTCCCTCCTGCCATGCATAGATGGTGCCTTCCCACTGACCTGCCCCCAGAAGCAGGGGAAGGAACCAGAAGCCAGAAGAGGAAGGGGGGAGCCTAGAGACCCTGGCTACCACAGCAGCATGAGCTATGGGGGTGTGGTGGCTCGGCAGGATCCCAGGGGCTACATGGTAACCCCTTGGCAGGCTAAATGCAGCCTATAAGCTGCCAGTTGGACAGCTCTGCCTTAAAGGAAAGAAGCAGTCAAATAAGAAAAAAAAATCTAACCAATAGCTTTCATGATATCTTTTACAAGCCTAGGAGCTAAAATACTGTACCACTCAATCTACTTATGCCAGTAAAATTCAAGAAGCTTATTCATAAGCAGCCCTCTTAAAAAAAAAAAATTAAAAAAAAATTCAAGGTAAGGTCCTCAGTTTCTCATGTTTGATTAGTCTACATATTTGTAGACATACAAAACAAATGTATATTCAAGGTACAATATTAATATATAATACATTATTGATATTTTAATATATTGTTATTACTATGTGATAATTTGAGAGGGGAGAGAAGCAAAAGAAACATGGCATTGACTGTACAAGCGCAGTTAGCCATATTGAGAAGATAATACCTGCAATGAAAGAAAATGTTTTGGATTTACGACAGGCCGTTCATAATTCATTTTTGTAACTTGTACTAGTAGAAATCATGGAATCAACATCTTGAAACAGAGTATTTCATCCTGTATCTTAAGAGCATCTCCTCACAGACCAAGCTCAAAGACCAAAGGAAGAAAATATAAATAGGTAGAAAGGAAAAACAAAATGTTATGCAGGAGAGGAAGGGGGAAGAAACCAGGAAGAAAAAGGCCTAAGGAAAACATTACAGAGGTAATAATACAGGGTAAGAAAGAGGCTCTCAATGCAGAATGAAATAGTAGGAAATCAGGGACATAAAGGGCAGAAAAGTAGGGAGGGGAGAAAAGGTGGGGGGAAAGAAGAATGTAAGAGGTCATGTAAGGCACAGGCACCTGATGAATCAGATGTCAGGCAGGTTGTAATGTGTCATAAAACCAATGTCTATATTGAGTCCATGATTTTTTGTATCCGGTAGATTTATTAAGTGAAGTTTGTAGGCTCGTCTATGGAAGGTGAGTAATTGTCCTGTGAGAAGTGTGCCCCCACAGGTAGTTGGGTATTCTTGTCTTTGATAGATTTTCGGTGTGCATTCATTCTGGTGTACAGTTGTTGTATGGTTTCTCCAATGTATTTTCCATCAGGGCATTTGGTGCACTGGATGAGATATATAACATTTCCGGAGGTGCAGATGTAGGATCTAGGAATGGTGATGGGGTGAATGGGGGGTCAGACTCGATGATCTATTGAGGTCTCTTCCGACCCTAACATCTATGAATCTATGATGGCTCTCTTGTGGGGTGTAGTTATAGTGGGGATGGTTGAGATATGTTGGCAGGTTTTGCATTTCTTGTCCTGCTGGCATGGTCTGGATTTATTCAGTGTGGTTTGGGTCATACGGAGTTTGCTTCTGATGATGAGGTTAGCAAGGTTTGGTGCTTGTTTGAAGGCTAGAATGGGTGGTTCTGGGAAGATCTCTTTAACAGAGGGGTCTTCTTCCAGTATGGGTTGCAATTGTTTGAGGATTTTCCATGTAGATTCCAGGGAAGGGTGATATGTCATAACTAATGGTGTGTAGTTTGTGGGGATGTTTTTTGTACTGCAGCAAATCTTCATGAGGTATCCGGGTGGCTCGTTCAAAAGCGTGATCTATCTCTCTGGATGAGTGTCCTTGTTGGCTGAAGGCCCTTTTGAGATTCGTGAGGTGGCAGTCACAAGTATTCTCCTCACTGCAAATGCGGTGGTATTGGAGAGTTTGGCTGTATATTACAGCTTTGTTGGTGTGTTTAGGGTGATTGCTGTTTCTGCGTAGATATGTATGTTGCTCCATGGGTTTCTTATATATAGTGGTTTGAATTTTACCATCTTGGGTATTGATCATGTTGTCCAAAAAGGAAATGCTGGTGTTAGAGTATTCAAGCAATGGTCTGACAGAGGGGTGATGATTGTTGAATTTTTGGTGGAAATCAGAGACTACATCCTCTCACACTTTGAGATTCTCTCATTCCTGTTTTCCTGATCTCCAACTATTTTCTTTTTCACTGACAGCCTCTTTTCCACCTTGTATTCTATCATGGTAATGTCCCCCTTTAGCTTTTTCCCCCCCTGCTCTCTTTCCCCTCCCCTCTCTACTTTACCTTTTTGTTTTTCTAACTTCTACCTATTTACATTCTCAGTGACATCTTGCCACACTTTTAGCTTCTCTCATTTCTTGGAGTCTCCAAACAGCAGAGACTCCCCATGCCTAATGAAGGGTGAATGCGGCCAAAAGCTTGCTAAGAACTTTTTTCCAATTACTCTGTTGGTCTAATAAAAGATATCACATCTACTCAAAGAACCTTGCCTGGATAAAATGTACTAATTTTCATGTAGAGACCAACAGCTGTGCTTTAAGATCATATTCACTGACAGAAAACTTTATTAATGCAGATCTTAAAGAACAACATATATGTTATCTAGTCAAAGAAAAAATTGTACTTTGCTTGAATGCTAAGGTGACCCATGTGTACTTTCTGGAAACATTTAGAATCTTGCAGGTACCTCAAAACACTATGTCAAAATATAACACTCAGTATACCACACACAACGCCTGTTTCCTTTAAATTGTCAATGTTAGAAATACATTTTAACTACCAAAATTATGTTGACAATAAATAAGTCTGTTAGCAAACTTTCTATGTCCACTGTTTCATCATGAATAATGTGTTTTGTGAATTTTTGTCAATGCATAATAAAATAGAAATACTTCCAACAACTACATAGGTTTTAAGTATTCATGCTACCAACAACTGGCCAATCAGCTCAGGGTTTCTGTCCTTTATTAATGCAGAGATAATGGTAGCAGCAGAATTTACAGTCTCCTGAAGCTGTGGATCATCCTGAAATAAAAAAGGGAAAACATGTGAGCAAACTTGAAAAAAAACCAAAAACCTATGCTAATCCATTTTTAACAAAACACAATTATATTATGATGTCTGAAACAATGGAAGCTATATTGTTTTACTAATACCAAAACTTTCAGAAAAATCTATGCTTTTTAGAATAGAATTTTCCATACCAGTATAAAATTCCCAATCCATTCAAAATAAAAAACTGTAGGCAGAAACAGAATTTAAGAAATAGATGTGGAATACATTTTAATTATTTCAAGGTATTGATGCTGAATACTCTCATTTCAGAAATGACCAAAACAAAACCCTGGCTTAAAATAGAGTCATTCCACTCAAACTGTATTTGAAACCTGAGTATTAGTCCAGATCCTACAAGGGGTTTCAAAACAAGCAGAATCAAAATCTATGATCTTTACACCCTCAAACTTGGCTTTGAGAAATCTGGATCAAAATGTAAGCTCCTCTAAAGAAAAACATTTAAGCATGTACTTAATCAAATGTATAAATCCATCCTTAGTCAGCATAGAACTTAAAGCCCATTGAAGTCTAACTGATCTGTGTATTAGTGGTATGGGCCAGTCTTTGTCTAAAACACTCTAAGCAGCAGGTGTACTCGTGCTAGAGAAGTAAAAAAGCCAATTACAGATAAGACATGGTACAAGCAGATCAGATTTTCCAACGGACAGCATGTGAGCTTTACAATTTCCAAAATGACATGCACATATAGACAAATACTATCTGTGCTATTCATTTTGTCCTGGGAGACTTGCCACAATCCCAGGAGAAAACACACATGTACAGATGTAGAGACAACACAGGTGTACAGCGTTTCTACTGGGAAAGCAAATGTTTGTACATGCCGTGGCTTCTCTCAGAAGAGAACACAGTCCTTCAGCATCTCCCCCTGAGGCTAGGGACAGACATTCAAAAAGCCTGAGCCTGAATTGATTCAATCTTTGCAGGTTAATCTAACCTGGCTAGGCTGAATCACACTGAAACTGCACAGACATCCCAGAAATGAGGCAGATGCCTGCAGTGGCTCAGGCTAGAAGCTGGGTGGCGCTAGAACATCCCTCCCTTCCCTTGCACAGGTCTGAGCTGAGGGGGCGTGGCTAGGCTCTGGCAGGATTAGGGAGGGGTCCCCCCACTTCCTTGATAACAAAGCATTTATCAGCTCTGTTATCAGCATTTATCATCCCATCAGAAAACAAACAGCCTCTCTGGTTGGTTCAAACTCTTCTTAAACAAAGAAGGAACGAGGGACATTACTAGCTGAGCTTTGATTAGCTCCAAAAAGCCCTAAACTGACACTGCTGTCTGCCACAGCATGGACCGTAGTAGCCAGCATGTCGTCTGCTAGCTAATGCTGAGGTGTCTGTGTAAGGCAGAGGGGATGCGGGGACATCCCTGCTTAGTAGGGAGTGGGGAGGAGAGGGGAAAAGTAGGGGGATTGCAGGAGGAAACCAGGCAGACATTGCTGTGTCTGCAAGTCTCTGCCGGAGCTGCAGCCACAGAGTAGAGGCGAGAGGCCAGCTCTGCTGTGGAGCAGAGAGCCCTGCCCAGCCCAGAGAGCATGCCGGGATGCTGGGGAACTCTGGTTTATCTTAAACCAGCAAGGTGTCTGAGACAGACACTGCATAAACCGGTTTGAGCCAAATCCGTTAAGTTCATCCAACCAGGTTTATCTCAAATCGGTTTCAGCCATTTTCAAACCAGTTTATGTGCACTGAACATCTGTTCTGTTACAGGTTTAACCCACTTTCTGATCACTTAAACTGGTTTGTGTGTAATGCCTGTCTCTAGCTTGGGAGTCAGTGTGTCACTCACTGGACTCTGCTCCTTCGGTAGGAAGCAGAACTCACCCCCCTCGCAATCCCCATATTGTGCTGCAGGGAAACATGGGATGACCATGGGCCTCTAACTGCAGTGTCAGCACTGCAAGCCCTCCACTCTTCAGGACCACTCTTCAGTTCTGTACACGCAGCAGAGTAAAGGTAAGATTCTTTACCAAGAGAACAAACTCAAGAGAATTCCCCCAGATTATCTGAATGCGTTTATGCAGCTTCTGCCTCCGCATAGGGTAGATGTTGATAGATATAGTGAGGCACAAAATATTTAGTAGGAGCAATATCTGTGAAGTAACAGAAGAACACTCAGATATCAAGGCTCCTAATAAAAATCAAAAGAGCAGATGCTGACTGAAAATGCTTAATTTAAGGAACAAATATAGGAGTAAAGGGCAATGTAAAAGTTAGTTAAAGATGAAGGTAACATCAAATGTTGTATAAGGAGAAAGCCTACAATCTGGAGTAGAAATAAAGGAGTTAGAGGTTGGGTGTCAGCCTGAGTAACGATGAGAAAAAATAAGTTATTAGATGAGCAGTGGAGAAGCTTACTAACTTTCTCGTTTAAGAAAATAATGGTACAGCAGAGGAGGTTGGTGCAACTGGAACAGAAGGTTAAAGTATGCTGTTTATGCCCAACCCATTAGTTGTTTTGGAAATACAGATGATTAGATCTGACTAAAATATGCCCTAAAATTCCATTTATGGAGGAACAGTGAGAGTTTATACCAAGCAAGCCCTTAGTCATTTTAGACATTTTTGATATGGGAGGAAGATTAGTCAATGGCATTTGCTTATAGCTTGTCTAACACTATAAAGAACAAAAATAATTAACGTATGGTGATTAATGCTTAATTGGTGATTTACACTACTCTTGAAATCCCGCAGCAGCAGCTTCCCCTCTCCACTGACCACTCTCATTTAATTTGGGGCAGCTGTTTGGGAAGTCTTTCACAACTACAGATGTTACGTTTTCCAAATGGGCTTCTAGCCATATCTGAAGTTGGCTGAAGCTGTATACTTTTTTCTTCTTTTCAAAAAAAGGAAAAAAAATGGGGCGAGGGGGAAAAATCCACCTGGCCAGGAATGCTCTTACTGTTTCTCCTAATAAATCTTTCCACATCATTTATACACATTCCTGTGTAGTAATAAATTCTTCAAGTTTTTGAACATGAAAGGAAGCAACACAAGGAAATTTAGCTTCCACTATTTTAAAGGAAGAGATTTAAAGTGACTCTGTGGAATTCAATTCAGTTGAAAAGTCAGCTTTAGTAAAAAGTTTTCATCAAATCTAAAACTAATTACAAGATTTTAATGATTATTTTCAAATTGTCAAAGAGACTTTTCCAAAAATAAAACCAAAAAACCCTCTTACATTATACACGCTCTCTCTTATACTTGCAATCCACACATGCTATGGCACTATGCTGAATAGAGGTTGCTGAAACAGAAACTGATTAGAAACTGGCTTGTCTGTTTTCATTTGTCCAGTAGAAGAGAGAGACAAAAAAGTATAATACAGCATATAGTATAATACATATTGGTATTTAATGTATACATTATGTGTACTTAGAACAATGCACCAGTACAGGCTGGGGGCTGACTGGCTGGGCAGCAGCTCTGCAAATAAGGACCTAGGAGTTACAGTGGATAATAAGCTGAATATGAACCAACAATGTGCCCTTGTCACCAAGAAGGCTAACAGCATACTGGGCTGCATTAGTAGAAGTGTTGCCAGCAGATCAAAGGAAGTGATTATTCCTATCTATTCAGATGTGGCTTCACTAGTCCTGGAATACTGTGTTCAGTTGTGGGGCTCCCACTACATAAAGGATGTGGACAAGTTGGAGAGAGTCCCGTGGAGGGCAAGAAAAATGGTTAGGGGGCTGGGGCACATGACCCATGAAGAGAGGCTGTGGGAACTGGGCTAATTTAGCCTAGAGAAGAGAAGACTTAATGGGGAATTTAATAGCAGCCTTCAACTACCTGAAGGGTGGCCCCAAAAAGGATGGAGCTAGACTGTTCTCACTGGTGGCAGATGACAGAACAAGGAACAATGGTCTCAAGTTGCAAAGGAACTGCTTCAAAAGCAAGGGAAGCAAGAGAAATTTAGGCTAGATATTAGGAAAAACTCTCTCACTGGGAAGGTAATAAAGCACTGGAACAGGTTACCCAGGGTGGTTGTAGAATCTCCATCCTTTGAGGTTTTTGAGATCCAGCTAGACAAAGCCTTGGCTGGGATGATGTAGTGGGGGATGCTCCTGCTTTGAGCAGGGGGTTGGACTAGATGACCTCCTGAGGTCCCTTTCAACCCTAATTTTCTACAATTCTATGATACAGATAAAGTTATGTCAGTTAATTTATCTTTCTTTCTTTTTTTAACTTCTAATAATTTAAACTGTAATTGTTGAGGAAATCTACTGAATCTTTCTAATATGACATTAGCCTATTGTTTGTTTGTTTTTTAATTACTCTTTAAGAATGATAGGAACAAAGACTGATGTTCTGATGGCAGATCAATCTAGTCTGGTATCCTGTCTTTGACCATAACTAGTTGCAGATATTTCTTACATGTTATTTAAAAAAATATTACAGGAAACTGTTATCATTGTTGTGGGGAATTTATTATAAACCTCAAGAAGTTGATGGAGCACGTAGTCTGATGTACCTCAGAAATATCTGTCTTGGTAAAGGACAGTCTCATTACTCATATTGTTGTCCCTTCTTTTACTGATGGGGTCCCATTTTGATATCTGTGCCTCTTCTCTGTTGAACAATGTTGTATCAAATATCCCAGGCCTTGCAAGTCCTTGCTACCCTTTTGTGAAGAAATCATTAACACAGACTGCAAAATTTAAATTACAAAAACCTGAAAAACTTTAGAGCCCACCCAATTCTTATATCAGTAAGGGTGGAAACACATTTCATCTGATGTCTCATTTGTGCTGCTATACAAATGTTTATGGTGACACAAATCCTAAGCAACTAGATGTTGATACCCTTTGTTGCACCACATGAAAGGAAAATTAGTGGTGCAACAAAAGCTGGTAATAGATTCTGCTGCTTTCTTGCAGTGGATGTCTATTATCTCTGTAGCCGGAGAGTACAAATAGCTTGAGCTGCTTGCTCTCTCCCACCACCAGA